TAAACGCAATATCCCTCTGGTACTCGGCCTGCGGCCTCGTGCCTCTGGCCTAATCACAGCCATGCTGATATAGAGCCGGTATCGCTCTCGTACTCGAGTGATGTTGCTCATATATATATATATATATACACACACACACACACACACACACACACACATACAGTAGATATATGTTTATTATATATTTAATTTATTAACCACATTTTTTTTATTATTGTAATTTAATTAGAAGTAAATTTAGTATTTAATAAATTAGTATAATAGTATTTATTATTATTATTATTATTAATAAATTAGAAGTTAAATTAGTTCAATAAGAATATTACCTGTCTAGACACCCAAACCTATACTCTAAAAGTGGATAATGACTGTATATATAACACCAGGAATATTACATAAATGTAATCCCAACATTCCTGATCAATGTATAACAACATGCAATTTAGATAAAGCAACTTGAGGGAACTTACTGCTTATGGGATTGTTCCCAATCCAACTCAGGATTCTCAAATGTCCTAAACTACGCAAACTTAATTTTCTTGAAACATGTCCAACTATTAAACAGGAATCCATTTTTGCAATGCACTAGAACAAAATGGCATGTGATGGAGAGGCCAAAAGAAATACTGTAAATTTATAAAATGTCAAATTTTTCATCATCTTCAACTTCTGACCACAGCTTTACTGAGACATCATCACTGAAGTCCCTAAAGATTGGTTAAGCCATCGATTGACTAGGCAGTAAAGCAGCAAGCCCTTTTCTTTTACTTGTTCTCTAAACACATAAGAACAAACACGTAGTTGAAGTCTGACAACATGGTGAGGTTGATAGTCGCTCACTCCATCGGTTTGTCCGTTTGTTTTGGCGAAGCCTTTCGAAACTGAACACTGTCAATTCCAATTCAATCAACAGCAGCACTTCGTCAAGCTCCATTAAATCATCACACACTTAGTGCTGTGCTTACAACACACACCAGATGCTGCCTGCGCCTTTGAGCAGAGAGCGATTCGTCACGCAGAGGACAGAGATGGATGAGACTCAAAGACAGAGAAACAGAGAAAGACTGAGTGAAAGAGTAAAGTCTGCCGAGGAAAGCACAGACTCAGGGGTGTGTGACATGTATCATCTACCATAATGACTGAAAGATAACACAAATGACCACCAAGAGAAGTGAAGGTTGTTGGAAACCGAAATCTAACAACGTCGTAATTATTGTTTGAAAAATGTGTGAGCTGATGTTATCAAGTATGTCAGTTGTTTTGCAAAAAAACAAACGAAAATGCACCTTAATGCACACTTCATTGCCTATTTTAATGCCCCGAAATCAACATATAAAGGGCCAATTTTATATTTATATCAAATGATAGTTAAACAATCACACGTGTGCCGTTACTCCTAAATATCAGCACAAATGCAAAAGTCATATTGATTTTATAAAAACAGTTCAATAAACAATAAGTTAACATTTTGAGTTTTTAAAAATTTCAATATTGTCCGTTTTAGCTTTTTTCTGTCATAATAATTTCTAAACGAATTCACAGCAGAACAGTTTTACACCTGCAAGTAACACATAGCAGTGCTTCATTACTGAATGAATCTGCGTTTTAAACAAATCAGTGTAATGAATGATTCAATGACTGAAATTCAGCCGTTTGAACCAATCGTTTAAATGCCACCTACTGGCAGTTTAAGTTTATTATTATTTAAATCTCGTAGCATTATTTATGCAATTGTAAATGCAGGGTTTTATGTCCCCACTGGATGCAACGAATTGTAATGGGCGTTAATGTTTTTGTCTCGTGGCTCCGGCTGGACAGGGCATCACAGTATGGTGAGGAGCGTAACATTTCCGTCACACGCTTGAGGTATTCGGCCAATCACAACACACTGGATAGCTGGCCAATCACAGCACACCTCACTTTTCAGACCGATGAGCTTTGTAAAAATCGATGCGTTTCAGAAAGGCGGGGCATAGAGGAGAAACAATAATGTACAGTATGTGGAAAATAATGTGTTTTTTGAACCTTAAACCGCATAAACCCATTTCACATTTCATTCTTGTCATATTTTATTACCATTTTCTAAACTATAGCAAATAAACGGTGATTTAATGTGAGAAACATCTGAATACATTTTGGTTTGACTGTATGTATAGGTATGTTTTAAAAAAATGTAGGTAGAGGCACATTTTTCCAATGAGAATGTGTTGAAAAAGACATTACCACATGGTAATAAATCACATGTTGACTTTTCAGCAACATGACTCTTCTACTGTATGTATTACTGTATGTACTGTTACCATGACATAAAACGACTCCTGTGGTCATATCAATTCAGGTCACAACACACACACTCCATCAGTTTAGCATCAGGATAATAATGTCCACGATGACCTTCTGTCTCCTAGTTATAAACTGACGGCATTTTTCAGAAGCATTCTCACAATTCATAACATCATTTCTTTGGCGCGGTGAGCCACGGGCTTTAGAAAGTGCTGTTTTCAAAAGGTGTGAGCACATTCTGAAACATGACAAACTTAATTTGAGCTCTAATTAAGAACATATTCACACCGTTTCCATTATTCAGAAACCTCATAATTAAAACACACGTCATTCCAGCAGACCTTGACTGCAGCTTTTCCATTTATGAGACCGTGTTTTGGTGTGTCTGTGTGTGGGTGTGTGAATATAAAAACGAGGCTGGAGAGAGGATAAATCATCAAACTATGTGTGTGCTGCTGACAGAGAGCAGTAAATTCTGATATGAGTGTTTTAAGAGTAAAATTACCCGATGGCCCCTCATCCTCTGGAAGTGGCCGATGGTGTCGCTAATGGTGTAAACCCTCACGTGGCCCATATGCAGCCGACCCGATGGGTACGGGAACATGGAGAGGACGTAGAACTTCTTCCGGGAGCTCTAAAAACAAAACAAAAAACAAGAGTCATTCTGTGCCTTTTTCGTTTTGAAGAATTTCTGTACGATTTTCTATGACATTCCAAACCTGTATAACTTTCTTTCTTTTATAGATGCTTTGAAAACGGTTTCGGGTCCCATTGACTTCTATAGCATGGGCAAAAATACTATGGACGTCAAAGGGACCTCAAACTTTTTGGTTTCCAACATTCTTCAAAACATCTTCTTTTGTGCTCAACAGAAAAAAATTAAGTCTTGAGGTCCTTGCACACTGAGTCCGAAACTTAGCGTTTTTTCCATATTCGTCATCCTTTCCTATCAAAATGCTTGCTACGAATGCGAAAACGCAGAAAATCGAACCTGGTCCGAATTTGTTTATGACGGACGAAAGTTTCGGAGGCAGTGTGTAAACGTGATTGACACAACGAGAGGTCGTATTTATTTTTCAACGTGCAAAAATTTCGGACGAAAAATTCGGACTCAGTGTGCAGAGACCTTTAGTCTTAGTCTTTTATTTATATAGCACCATATGTTCATTGTCCAAGGTGCTTTACAATTCAAAGATAAAACTAAATACCAGCAAAAAGAAAACAATATAACCCTAAAACACAGTTAAGAAAAAAAAAGGCCACATATATAGACATTGTTTAAAGGGGTCATATGATGCGATTTCAAGTTTTCCTTTCTCTTTGGAGTGTTACAAGCTCTTGGTGCATAAAGAAGATCTGTAAAGTTGCAAAGACTAAAGTCTCAAATCCAAAGAGATATTCTTTATAAAAGTTAAGAGTCAGTAACGCCTACCTAAAATGGCTCGTTCTAACACGCCCCCCACATACCTATGTCACTATGTGGGAAGATTTGCATAACACCGCCCAAATGTTCACGCAAAGAAAGAAGGCATAACTTTGATTCTCGCTGTAGTATTGTTGTTGCCGCTGCCGCCACCATGTCGTGAAGGCGCTGTGTGCTTCGTTGTGAAAGCGAAACTACTTTGTTTGGTCTTCCAAGAGGATGATATCTGCTTCGTCATGCCTAGAGCTGATCCGTGCTGGTCGCTGAGGGAATACATCAACTTTGCGCTGTGGATCGCCAGATCGGCTTTCACCGTGGACGAAGCGGAGTCCAGCCGGGGTCGTCACATGTGGTTGCTGCAAGCCTCCTTCGTTGAATCCGCCGCCTCTGCTCACTCTAGGCCACTGTGTGTGACACTGTGTTTTGTTGTGAAAGCAAAACTACTTTGTTTGGTCTTCCAAAAGAGGACGATATCCGCTTCGTCATGCCTGGAGCTGATCTGTGCTGGTCGCTGAGGAAAAACATCAACTTCGCGCTGTGGATCACCGGATCGGCTTTCACCGTGGATGATAAGTCATTATAATCAGTAATTATGTTCCCACTGGATGCAACAAATACCTCGTTTGTAATAGGTTTTAATGTTCTTGTCTCGTCGCGCGGCCGGGACACGGCATCAACAGTATGGTAAGCGGCGTAACATTTCCATCACACGCTTGAGGCATTCAGCCAATCACAACGCACTGGATAGCTGGCCAATCACAGCACACCTCGCTTTTCAGACCGATGAGCTTTGTAAAAATCGACGCGTTTAAGAAAGACGCCATCACCGCTATGTTTCAGTCTAGATCTTGGCACCTTTAGTTGAATTTGGTTTGCTGACCTAAGTGTTCTGGAGGGCTGCTGAACTGGAATAAGCTCTGAAAGGTATGTAGTCTTATGAATAGACTGATAAACATTTTAATTTGATTACATTTTAAAAGGTTAATTGCATTTTTAAAAATGTTATGCCTTTATTTGTTAACCAGCGTTTTTGATAAGTTTGTATTAAATCATAAATCCTGAAAAGTTCATTAAAACAGTCAACAGTCCTTTCTGAGAAAATAAAAACATTTTATAGAGTCCTATTATTGTAAAAAAAAAAAAAAATAATAAACCTATTAAATTGTTTTTGAATGTAAAAACATTATGAATTCAATTGATTAGACATGGTTTTTGATTATTACATTTCAATTAAACCATTTAAAAAAAGAAAAAAGAAAAACACAGAACAAGAATTTTTTTTTTTTAATTAAATAAATTGTTGCTAAATTAATTAAACCATTTCAGTTCACTAACATTTATTTTAACCATTAAAACAGAATACAGAAAAATTTAAATTTGGGGAAAAAATAAAATAATAAAAATATAAAAATAATAATAAAAATAATTTTTTCAATTTTCATATATGGTGTACATTATAATTATCTTTGATTTAACATGGTAACATGCAATGGTACTTTTTGGTATGCTGGTTGCTGTAATAATATTCAGCCCAGACTGTCCTGGTCAGATTCAAGCAATCACGTCTAGTGTAGTGGAAACTCAATATCGCCAGGTAGTTCTCACAGCAGATCCCTAATATGAGGCCTTCACATGACTCGTTTAAGCGCAGGCTGCTGACCTGCGAGACCCGCTAAGGCTCATACATTCAGTCACGCTCTCCGCGGCAGTTTTAATGATTCATGACGGCTTTGAAGAAGCGCGCCGCACTGGGCAAGCATTAATCAGTGCAGGTCAAAAAGGCCTGAATTATTCAGCAACTGAAAGAGACAGACACATTTTGGGAGAGAATACATCTCCACCGCATCTCCCCCAGAAGCTTTTCCCTTAATCCAGTGAATCAGTCTTCAGGTGAGTGGAACTAACTCTGATCAATTTGGTACATAAACATTTGAGGTCAGTTTTCAGAGAGTCGACCCCACTCAAATCTATTGAGTGCAAGAGAAGCATATTTATTTTTTATGAAAAGCCCAGTGACTGTACTAGAAACCCTTGGTGTGATGAGAACATGTGAAAACTAACAGTGTGAGAAAACAAGGAAAACAAGGCAGATGGAGCAGGACTGCAGCACATGTCTGGGGAATGAAAGCAAAAGGTGTTAAATGTTCTTTCTTCATCAGATTTGGAGAAATGTAGTATTACATCACTGTCTCAGCAATGGATGCTCTGCAGTGAATGGGTGCCGTCAGAATGAGAGTCCAAACAGCTGATAAAAAGTGAGTGAGTGAAGTGACATGTGGCCAAGTATACTCAGAATTAGTGCTCTGCATTTATCCCATCCAAAGTGCACACACACAGCAGTGAACACACACACACACACACACACCGTGAACACACACCCGGAGCAGTGGGCAGTCATTTTTTGCTGCGGCGCCCGGGGAGCAGTTGGGGGTTCGGTGCCTTGCTCAAGAGCACCTCAGTCGTGGTATTGAAGGTGGGAGAGAGCGCTGTACATTCACTCCCCCCACCTACAATCCCTGCCGGTACAAGACTCGAACCCACAACCTTTGGGTTACGAGTCCGACTCTCTAACCATTAGGCCACGACTTCCCAAAACATCACAATAATCCACAAGTAAACCACACCACTTCAGTCCATCAGTTAACATCTTGAGAAGCCAAAAGCTGCAAGTTTGTGAGAAACAAATATCAATAAATCATTCAGATATTTTTAACTTCAAACTTCTGGCAAAATATATGAGTCCATAATCCATAATGTTGCTTTCGCCGGTGAAAACGTGGTCTGGATTGTTTACAAGCCACAGTCCGAAACAGCTCTAAACAAATATGTTGGGTGCATTTTGATGTTTGAGGACAAAAGGGGATGGACTTTTACACTGGAGGAAGCATTATTATAGATTATGGATTCATATTTTAGCCAGAAGCAAGGGTTTAAAGTAAAACATGTTTGAATGATGGATTTGTTTATTTCAAACACAGCTTTTCACTTCACAAGACGTTAACTGATGGACTGGAGTGGTGTCTTATAAATGTATCTTAAATAGTACATTTAACTATGATTTTGTTTGTTTTAATTTTTGAATAATGATTAAAATGCTTAAAATTAGTGTAAGGAACATACTTTTTATTTTTACATTTTTAATAAATTGAAACTCTTTTTTGGAAGTTGTATAAACGTTTTTTAAAAGCATATGAAATTAACATTTATAGAAGAATAGATTTCTAATAAATTGGCGAGTATTTTAAACTTTTCCTATATCATGGACATCCTTTATTATTTATTCATGAATGACATATGAGTTATATCTATTTTGCAATAAACATTACGTTACATGGGGGGCAAAAATGAAGAAAAATCTTGCAAAATTTAAGATAAGGGGGCAAAAAGTTTTTTAATTTATAAGCAATTTACATTATGCAACTCTTGAGTAAATACATGTTTGCCACCTTCAAGCAGCATTAAACTATCTGTTAACTGTAGCTTCTGTTCCATCTTTACAGTATAAAGATTACTTTTTTTGATGTTGATCAAATTTTATTGGTAACAGTCTGATTGATTGAAGTCATTGGTTAAAATTAAGGGGGTCATATGATGCGATTTTAAGTTTTCCTTTCTCTTTGGAGTGTTACAAGCTCTTGGTGCATAAAGAAGATCTGTACAGTTGCAAAGACTAAAGTCTCAAATCCAAAGAGATATTCTTTATAAAAGTTAAGAGTCAGCCACGCCTAACTAAAACGGCTCGTTCTAACACGCCCCCACATGTCTACGTCACTATGTGGAAATATTAGCATAATGCCGCCCAAATGTTCACGCAAAGAAAGAAGGCGTGGTTTCAGGAACAGCAGTCGTGTTGATGCAGCATGTCAGGGAGACGCTGTGTTTCAGTGCGAAAGCAAAAGCACTTTATTTGGCCTTCCGGAAGTAGATGCAATTGCCTACAAGACAAAAACGACCACTAAAGGTAAGAAAATCAGTTCCAAATATTGGGTAAATATTGCCCCTTAATGAAAAAAAAAAGTGTATTTCCGACCCTTCTTACAATCAATGACAACAGTCAACAGATTCATATTGTTTTGCCATTTCTGATTCAATCACGTCATTCACAGTATTTCATAGCATGAGCAGTTCATTCCCTCGCAAAAGGAATTTAAACACAATCTTGTACTTTTGTCTTTTATTTTCAAATACTCAAATCAAAATTTATAATGTCACTGATATTTAATTAAATTGTAATTTGATTCATCTCTGGGCCGGTTGGTTGGATGGAGGAAATCTGAGCTTTTAGACTTTGAATGAATTAATAAATGCAGCTCTTAAGACTAATGCTAAAGAAGCCAGACGTCTCTTTTCTCACACATACAAAGTTTTCTCCGTGAGGTGGAAGGGATTCTTCGAATGAAAATCTCAAGGGAGAGCCACTTCAAAGTAAAAAACATGGCATACTGTCACTGAAAATCCCCTCCTCTCGCCTTTCTTAATGCATTTTCACTTGCTCTTGTCCATATAAAGACAGCTCACACTGATAACTCCTAGAAATGTATCGTAAAAGCGCTCCGTATGTCACCTACATTGGTGGAAGAAAATGATTTTTGCTGCTTGTTCAATTTATTTTACTTAACTAAAGCAACACAATTGCTAAGTATTTTATCACAACTTCATTGTGCTCAGTCCACTTCTCATATGTACAATTTACTTTAAAAAAAAATTTGTGTTAGGACTTAATGAATCAATTAACTGAAACTACATGAGTGGAATTTTAGTTCCCAGCATGATTTGCATAGGACTCAATTGGGAGATTAAATGTTGAAATGAAGGGTTATTATTGTATGCACTAGTAAGTAAAAGGGAAAGAACTGTTAGTGTTTTAAGTTTGACATTTAAAAGTGTTACCATCGTTGAAGAGTAGAGATGGTGGTTAGGGATGGTTGTATCATGACTATGATGTTTTTTGCTTCATTCATTCACTTAAGTCCTGCTGGGAGGTAGGGCTGTCCAAAAAAAATTTGAATTTCGAAAATTCGTCGAATTTCAAATAAAATCCACATTCGAATGCAAAAACGTTGCATTCGAATTTTAGCTGTGCATCAGGCAGCCTTATCAGTGGTGCACGAGATGAGACAACGATGTAAGTGTCATTGCATTTTAATGCTTTTGTTAGTCTATCCAGCTGAAGCCACTAGATGCGGCGCTGCTACGTTGTTCATTCAAAATATTGAGGAAAAAGAGAGCATCAGTGTGGAGATCTCGTTTACGTCAAAACCGAAACCAAGCCATTCACACAGAACGCATATTTGTCACATTTTCTAGAGGGACATCTATCACCGTTGCAGTCGCATCTCGCACTTAGAAAGCCATGTAAAATTAATGTAAGTTCAACTTTTTAAAAACATGTCTCAAGACGTTATGGCGGTTTTTCCCCATCCCACTGCATCTCATGTTTTTAAATGAAGAAAGTACTCTTTATGATTGGTTTTTGGTCCTTTGTATTAAACTATACATACATGCATGATGCTGTTTTGTTTCTAATTGCTTAAGAAACTTTAATTATATAAGGTTTATAATCATTATTTTAAACACTATGCACTTTTTTTCAAAGATAGTCGTGTTATTTTATTATGCTTTGAAGAAACGGGCATAATATTTTTTTCCATGCGCCCCCTTGTGGCCTCAGGAGAGAAGCCAAAAGCTTTAGAATTTAGTTTTTCAGCCATTTTGACAGCCCTACTGGGAGGTTCGAATTTATTAGGAGTTAGGAAGTTGTAATTACACCATCAGATGCATTCAAATCACTTATGTCAGAGCATTTTTTTTTACTCTACTTATCCTAAATGATGAATAAAGAATGTACATCACGTGTATTTTTGCATTTTATGCTTTTATTCAATAACGAAGGTTCTACTGAATTTTGTACATGCAATATAAACGACATTTATTCAATTCAGCTAATTTACCATCAATACAGTTGCGTTGCGTTCTCGTGTCCAACGTGTTTTCTCAGTGACATGAGCCCAACTCAGAATCTTAAAGAACTTCAAGCTTAAAGAAAACCAGTTTCCTAACTTACATACGAATTTATGGTGGCATTAATGTGCTATCAACTTGTAAATATGAGCTTTCTGACATGACTTAAGCACATCATTAGTCACTTTGTTCATTTACTTAGCTAAGCAGAATTTTAAAAAGCTAAGTAAGAAACGTTAATGTAAATTAAATTCGGAGTAAATTTAACTCGTTGTTTTTTCCAAGTATATCTGACTATCTGATCTGTAATTTTTATACATTTTCTTTGCCTTTTTTTATTATATTCATATTCTACACATCTTAAAACTGGATGAAGCCAGGTTTAACATTCTTGTTTTATTTTGATATATTCATGGTTATGTTCAAATGGGATTTTGGATCTCTTTTTATTACTCCATAACTAAGAAAATGATGTCAACAAAAAGTTTACAATGACTTTAAGAATAAAATTTCATGTGAATTTAGAAAGATCACAGTACAGTCAAAGAGAGTACAATGCCTGATGATGAATACCAATACATATAATTTCATATCCATCATTTTCCTTCAATTAATCTGATAGGGGTGTATTGTGTATTTGAGAAACAAATAGACTCGGATATATTTGTGCCGTAACTAGGCAACATGAGAGGATAGTGTAAGGTGGAAATAAACCTGTCCCCTTGGAAACAAATGAAAAACCTCTAAAGTGGTCACATTAAAGAAAAATCATTTATCAGTACAAAGACAATGCATGTGGGAGGTTTTGCAAAATGTTTAAAAAAATTAAGAAAAAGAAGAGTTACTTTCTTTTTTATTTTCTTATGAAAAAGTATTTCATTAGTTCGTTATAATTCATTCAAGGTCATTCTAATAAATTAGTATAATTTGGGTCCTTCCTATAAATGTATGTAAAAATGGCTTTAACAATCCAGTATAAATTGAGTAATTTTATATATTTGTTTTTTTAAATAATAAAGTATCTTATATTATTCCTTATGTTTTATATCATTAATACATTATTTTGTTTGTTTTTACTTTATTCTCTTTTTATATTTTAAACTACATGTGAAAAGAGTAAACATTTTAATGAATAAACCTCGCCATATTTTTCCAGTTGATTATTCAGAGTACATTAAGACAACTGTTTGCATTACAAGTTTACTTAAATGTTATGTTTAAATAAATAAATATGCACTAATTAGCAAAGATTTCCTAAACGGAAATCTGAACATATTTGGAACATATGTGACCCTGCAGCACAAAAGCAGTGTTAAGTCGCTGGGGTATATTTGTAGCAATAGCCAACAATACATTGTATGGGTCAAAATTATAGATTTTTCTTTTATGCCAAAAATCATTAGGATATTAAGTAAAGATCATGTTCCATGAAGATATTTAGTAAATGTCCTACTGTAAATATATCAAAACTTAATTTTTGATTGGTAATATGCATTGCTAAGAACTTCATTTAGACAACTTTAAAGGCGATTTTTTTCAATATTTAGATTTTTTTTTTGCACCCTCAGATTCCAGATTTTCAAATAGTTGTATCTCGGCCAAATATTGTCCTATCCTAACAAACCATACATCAATGGAGAGCTTATTAATTTAAAAAAAATGGACCCTTATGACTGGTTTTGTGGTCCAGGGTCACATATAATCTAGCATATTTGGATTTCTTTTCACAATGACCCAGTTATCAAACAGCTGCTAATCTGACGCACATGAGGCTATTGAGAAACATGCTGTATGGCTCCTTCAGAGGACAGAAGTGTTTCTGTCAGCCGCCCACCAGCTCTCTCTCACACACACACACACACACACACACACACACACACGCACTCTCTCTCTC